GGTGTCGGACCGAAGCGCTCGATAGGTGGCGCCGTTGCCGGGGATAACGGCTGCCTACCGTTGTCCCTGGTGGAACGACATCCGGGTATGGAAGTCAGAAATAGGCGAATGAGAAGTTTTGATAGACTTATATGAGCGATTGGCTAATATTTTGACTATCGGTGGAAGTATCGTAAAGACTGAAAGGCCCATAGAAATCAAGCCTTGATTCGAGGCAGGTTGATGATCCGTGAAGGATGACCGCTTCTGCTTTACTGATTGGGTTAGGAGGAATGGTTGATCGTATATGGTATTGGATTAAGCATGAAGTGAGGGTTAACTCCATGAGTGGGGTTTTGAGTGGTGTAGTAAGGGTCGCTTGAGATCGATAAGCGCCTTGATTATGCGCTGGGAGCACTGCTTAGTATGCGATTAAATGTAGATGAAAGGCTCCTGGACTTTAATGATTGATAAGTTTGGGTAATGCCTTGTAGGCCCGATTTGGCTAGGAATGAGTAAGGTGGCACTGACATTGCTAAGTATGCCTATGATTGGAATCTAAGGCTAATTGACTCATTATGTGATTGTTGTGTTAAGCCTGCCTTGGGGATAGTCAAGTAAGATGGAGCATCTCCCCTAGTTATATGACCCCTAGAGAGAGTTGCTCGTACAAGAACAGCATGGGTGAGGGGATGACTGGTGAAGTGCGAAGTGAGGAGTTTAATTGTAAAAATATTTCCTTTAGCCTAGGGTAAGACATGATATGATAGGTACTACGGCCAGTATGATGATTAGGCTCTACGATAGTGCGAGTTACCAGTTGGTGATTATTTAAGTCATTTGCAGACTGTCTGGCTAACTATCGGTAAATCTCGAGAAGTAGTGGTCACTAGGATAGCGGTTTGGCTAGTCCGAAGAGAGACCTATGAGTTAATTATATGTGATATATGTATGTATGACATTTATGATGGTTTGTTTGGTTGTCTCTATATACGTGATTTCAGTGTGGTTTGTTTGATGTCTGATTGATGGCGTATGCATGGATTGTCTTTCACGAGGACATAGATTCTGCATGAAACTCATGCCTAGCATGAGACCAGGGGTGAATGGGGTGACTTTCTTCTGTGGAAGGTGGTTCTTCCGAAAACGGGTTAGTCGGCATGTATAATTGGTCCTCAGTAGAAATGCATTCTTGAGTTGTTACTCCCTCTATGAGGCTTAAGGAAGCGGTTATTAGTCTCGAAACTAATAGTGGGGTCACGCCGGAACTATGTTCTTGGTCCATTAGTGGGGTGTTGTAACCTTTCCTATGATAAGGAGAGTAACTACATTATCTATTGAGAGGAGAGGAAAGGGTTTGTTAGCTTACTGAAATTGTGATGGCCAAGTGAAACAGCTACTGCTTAGTAAGAGCAGATCTGGAGTAGCGACCTAGGCTCATCCCCCGTTAAAGTAGGACCACCATACTTGTAAAGGCGTGAATTCGCTATTCGTTGCCTAGATAAGTATGGATGGGGTTGTCCATTTGACCATGATAGGGTCGGTGAGGTGCAAGCGTTGGAATCAGAGAGGGATGTGGTGAGGCTTGATCTTTAGAGTGGGGCTCAGGAGTCAAGATGTTATCTTATGAGGATTATACCGCCCCTCTAAAATATATGCTTCACTTAAGACTTAACGGGGTAACAATTGTATCATGTTATTCACTCATTGTCAGTCCTACTTTTGCCTTATAAGATACGAAAATCCGTTATTGAGAGTTATCTTGTTATATGACTGGCAGTTGAGTTGCGTTCATATGGTTGCTAATAAAGCATATTGCGCCATCAGGTACAACCCTTACAAGTAATTTGAGTTTGTCATGTAAAAATTATTCTTATTAGCATATGTCATTTATCGTGGGTTGTGCTGCATTTTGTATTTGTGTTTGGAGTATCCACCTATGCGACGTATGTACATCGCGCCTTGCCTCGACGATGACAATCATAAGTGGTTAATGCCTGAATTGTGATTGGAGGGACTTATTAGTGAATGTTTGTGTTTTATTTTTTATGGATATTTACTCAAAGACTCTCTTCGGTATCGCCGTTGTTTTGAATAGGTTCTTACGTGTGCTCTCGTGATGAGTACCGGGGCAACTTTAGTGGGGTATATTCGGCACTAGATTTTGTTGCGTAACTTCCCTCGAGTCTCGACCCTAACGTCGCTCGTTGTTGTTCAACAGGTGATGTGGTCGAGGGAGCTCGAGATGGAGGAGCCTCAAGGAAGGATTGGGGTCGAGGAACTTGCCTCTCTACTGGGTATGCGAGATTGGGAGCGAGACAGTCTGCCCAAGGTTGAGATCGACTTCTTTAAAGACGATCATGTTTCTGACTTCCTCGACAAGTTTGAACAGATAGCGTCCCACTGCAAATGGAATGAGGAACAAATGTTAAAAGAAGTGATGAAGTATATTCATATAGGCTTGAAGGATGAAGTCAGTGGGTTGGTTAGAAGAGCAAGGTCATCGTGGAGGAAGTTCTATGATGACTTGTGGAATAAGTACCGGCTAGGTGAGGAACAACTGACCAAAGACGATCTTGAGAAGATAGCTCGGTATAGTTATGTGTTAGTAGGACACTTCCTGGCAGAGTATGAGTGCGCATCGTGTAAGGTCAGGGGACTGTCAGAACATGACAAATGCTTTGTCTTCCTCATGAATTTCACGAATGCAGAACAGTGAGATTTGATTCGTGGAACAGAAGGGAGACTAGTATGGGATAAGATCCGAGAGAACCTTAAACAGGAGGATTTCGACCAGTACCTCCGCCATACCCTGCGGGGAGCGAGGAAAAGAAAGAAGGTGTTGGATAGTGAGAAGAGCGAGCTTGAGAAGAGTTCGAATGATCTTGCAGTAGGCACCCCTGATGCTGAGAAAGATGGAACTCAGAAGGGTGCTGAGATTGTCAGGCGAAATCACAGGTGGAGCAGAGAGAAGAAAAATGAGTCGGGAGGTGAGAGAAAAGAGATACCGACGGAAGTAAGAGTCGTTGTAACCCATACCTGTGAGAAGACGCTTGACGCTCCAAGCGAGAAGGGAATAAAGGAGTAAAGAGTTCAGGGAGAAGTTGGTATGACCCTGCCGCACACTGCATCTAATCCTAGTAAGGAGTGTGACGACAAGGGAACATTGTCAAATGTAAGTCGAAGTGGACGACGGAATAGAAGAGGGCGAGAACGGTGGACGAGGATAGTATGTGCTTGCTGTGGGAAAACTGGTCATACCCCTCGCAGATGTAAGATGGCAAAAAAAGAATTTAGGGGTGAGGTTGTGTGCCTAAATGAGAATGGTGTCAGCGATCTTAAGTGACTAACAAATAGACACTCAAAAGGCCATGACAGTGCAGTAGGTCCGATTTGTGGAATTTATGAGCGATTATTTGTTTATTTTGCTTTTACCAAACCTATGAGTGTTACGAGACATAGTTTTCTTCTCGTATATAGTTCTGATCTCGAGTGTACGCTTTTAGTTTTTGGGATTGTGCGTACAATTTGGATCTGATTATCCACTCGTTAAGCTGGATTTAGCTCTTGTCAGATACGAGTGGAGGTCTTTTAAAAAGTTGTCGACTGTACGTTGACGCTACCCAACTTTGCGAGAACGTTTGATATCATTCTGCATAGGTAACTTGTATGGTACGCTATACAACCTGGTTGATTGGGATATGAAGTGGTGAAAATTTGAGATTTGTAAGGATGTGAGACGTGAGACAACCTGATCTTCTTCTGGGCATTATTTCTTGACATGGGTTTTGATTCCCTCGGGTTGCAGGATCGTGCGTGTTTCGGTTGTCCTTGACACTCTCATCAAAAGTGGCCTTGTGAGTCTTTTGTGTATTACTTCGATCACTGGTGAAATGAAGAGAGTGTGATTATTTCTGGGACGTTTATGAAAGTCTCAAGGAGTCCATAAAATCATATTAAGAGAGAGGTTATGCCCAAGGGCGGCTTGACAAAGTTTGAGGGGCATTTTCAAGAGAAGAATGCTTTGAGGTTATATAAACAAATCCATCCATGAGTGGGAGGGTGGCGGAGAGGTTTTTTTGGTGATTCTCCTTCAGAATGAAAGGAGTCTTAAAAATTATTATAACACCCCTGAGAGGAAGGGGGTGGCCTAACGAGAATTTTTATGGAGTCAGAGTATTATCCTCGGCCAAATCAGCAGTTCCACTTTGTGGGCCTCAACTGCTAGTAAGCGTATCATCTACGGCAGGGAAACCTGTAATGTAAGAAAGCCCTTACCCGGCCAGTGGCTGTGAGTCCCGGGTGGTTCTGTGTGTGGCAGGGGGTAAGGAAATAACCGTTCAATTCGGCATCCCCACTTGCGTAGTCACGTAAAAGTTGGTAAGGCTGGTTGTGAGTCCTTTACTCAACTTGTTATGGGCCACAAGCGGTCTAGTCTGTGACGGGGACTTCCATGATTAAGACTCCTCGAGAAGAGTTAAAAGTTTTGACTAATAGTCGGTGGGAGCGGCATCTACGGCAGGAAGGATCGGCCTGGTTATGGGCCCCTCCAATCGGCTATAGTCTTGATTGAAAGTGGCGTTGAAGTTTTGCTTGGAGGAAGATTACGAGGGTTGCTCACTGAGCAAAACCTATGAGTTTGATTGATAAAAGGTGTGACAAAAGTGAAGGATCTCACTCACAAAGGTAGGATTTGTGGGGAAGAGGGGTGATTTCCCTTATTTTGAAAGACTAAGTGAATATCACCGCCCATACCTTTGATGAGTTAGTAAAATGAGGGGTTTTTGAATGGTAATAGTGCCTTGGGGGACTGGGCTTAACGGGGCCCTGCCCATAAGGTACATTTGTGATACGTATGATGGGGTCAAACACCCCAATCTTCTAGATTAGCTGAAAGATTGGGGCGTCTGATAAAATCCCATTATGAGGTGTTCTTTTGAGAAAGAGTTTGTAAAAAGAGCATATAGATTGGTTGAGTTTGAGTAATTGATGGGTGAAAAGTGAAGAATTTACCTGGAGATCGAGGCTCTGAAATTTGACCCACCACTGAGTCTGAGTCTTAGCCAATGGTGGGGTGATCAGTGTGTCCGGCGCGATAAAACATCGCTCAAAGAGGCCGGAAGTATTGTAGTCCTAAGTTTGGTTTTGGATGACCCCCGTCCGTGGTTATAGTGGGTGGAAAGTGGGTTCATCCACTTTGTTAAATTAGAAATGGAGGAGTGTTTGTGGTTAGCCGATTACTCGGCTATTATAGATTTTTATTTTTGATGAGGAACTGAATGGTAATTTCGACCTTGGACTTCTGCACGAATTGTCTTAAGAAGACGAGGTCTAGTGTCGATACAACTAGATGACTATTTCAGTCGAAGTTGAGAACTTGAGAGAGTTATCATGTACTTCTTCTGAAGACTATAGTTGAATAGAAATACTTGGTGCGACGAGGCCGTCGTTTAATAAGTTCCGGGAAGACTGTCGTACCAAATACCCTTACAAGGATATTTGGCGTGTTTTCTGCAAGTCACGCGAGTGGTGCATCGCCCGCCTGATGACGTGCGCGTGAGCGGAAGCGTAGGTCCTTGTCAGGGTGAGACGCAACTGTGCGCTGCCTAGGTGTGCGCGGCGTCACGGGCCGACGGGACGCACGACGTTTTGGTTGTATTTTATATTAAGTAATTGGGGTATTAAATTTTTGTAAGCTCCGGCATTTTGTGTAATTCGGACGTGACGCCGGACTCAATCGTCGTCACAGCAGTCAAGGACCCTAAACCCACGGTGCTTTGGAGGGATGGTGGGTATTTTGACCCACGGCGAGGGAGGAAATATCAGCGGCGGGGCCTTTGGCGGGTGTACTGGCCGCCCCCGTGGTTTGCTGTGAGAGGTTTGAGTGTAAGCGGGTCGTTGGGACCCGCGAGCTGGCGGACTATGCCCTGGGCGCTATAGCAAGGCCCGCCGCGGTACTACGACATGTTGCAGACCGTATGGAACCGAGCCACGGGCCGGCGGTAGGCCCTCGCCCTCAACTGTAGGACGACCTGTGTGGGGGTTGCCCGCTGGGGACCCGAAAGGGTGACCAGCACTGTTAGAGTGGGAGCCGACAAGGGGGGTGGGCTCCTTGTAAAGATGCACACCAACAGTTGTCGAATAGTCCGCCCGACGGACAAGGGCATAGGGGCGGAAGACTGACCGGAATCATCCTCCAGATGGGCTGGCCGGTGGTTTTCCCTCAGGGTTAGTTGAGGTAGAAAGGGAGGCCGCGGTGGGAAGGTACAAGCAGACCAGCGAGTCTTAGAAGTATAAATTGAGAGGCAATGCCCAGCTCCTCATTCACTCCTACGGGAGCCGTGCGGAAGCGCTGCCACAGCGGGGGGGGGGGCTGCCGTAAGCCGAAGGACGGAGTAGTTGAAAGGGGCGGCTGAACCTGGGCGCGGGGTCCTGCCAGGTACGTTCGGAACAAGGAGGGGGTGATGAGGACGAAGGCAGCCAAAGGCGACGTGGAGTAGCTGGCCGGGCAGCACAGCCCCGAGCAGCAGTAGAATGGTAGGGGTGAAGTGAAGCAAACCGGTCGGAGGAAGGCCGGGCGATAGGAGGAAAAAGGACAAACGCAGACGGACTTCGGCACCGGGTGCGCACAGAGGGAGAAGGAAGAATGCAACAGCGGGAGAGCAGCGGGCAGGTAGCGTGACGGGTAGCGTTGCGTGGTGGGGACGGAGTGATGGCACAGTGAAAAAGCGGGGGCTGAACCAAGGCGCGTTATCGCGCCAGATGCATGCGATAGTGAAGAAGGCGGGATGCAAAAACGGGCGCGATCGGGTAGGGAGGAACGAAGACTGAAGGGGAGCTAGCGAGAGGAATGAGGTGGGGGCGTAATAAAGGGGGGGATGCATCAGTTCGCATTTCGCGTCAGATTCATTCGCCAATCTTGATGGCGAAACCGTGGACATGTCGTGCTAGGGAGTTTCTAGTTCGCTCGATTCTTAATGAAATAGAGCGAACCAAAACCCGATTCCGGGCTTTTGAGAGGCGCCGACCAAGAATCCACGGTTAGTTTGGGGTGAAAGTTAGTAAAGGAAAAGTTATCAAGAAAACGAGCTGCGCGGAGGTATCGGGACTGGCGGATATGGCGGGAATGGGAAGTGGAGAATTCACTCGATTCTTTATGAAATCGGGTGAAATAAAGTGATAGGTAGGGGGTTTCTGTTATTGTGAATTTTATGGTAGTGTTAGTTTTAGTTGTAGGTTAGTAGTTTGGTCGGGGTTAGTATTATAGGCTGCGCCCGGGAGAGGTTGTATACAGGCGGTGTATACTTCCACGTTGTAGTGGAAGATTCATGAATGAAAGTTTGGGGGATTGAACGGGCTGCAAGCCTAGTAACTATGGCAGATTCTATTACTTGGACGATCGGAGAAACTAGCGGTATGAGTCAAGGGGATGGTGGCCTGGCTCGACACATAGAGGAAGCGGATGTATTTGGCCGTGTTTTTGGTGGAAGATTCATCCGATGTTGCCCATCCTAGCGATAGGAATGGTGTGAGGTCAGCCACGAATTGGAGATTTAACTATCGAGTAGAGTCGTTATGGCCTTCACTGTCGAATCAGAGGTGGGAGCCTAACTGAGCCATCTGGTAGTAGGCCCCTTTCGAAGTCTCCCTCAGAGTTGTCGGTGTTGCCTGCAGAACTCCCCGTGTGATGGCGTTCTCGACATGGTGGTGGCAATCCCCTTAGTTCGATCGGGGTCGGCACTACCCGGGTAGACCCGAGCGCACAGGTACCCGCACACAGAGAGCGAAGTCACCTACCGGGGCAGAGAAGAGAGCAGGACAGGGGCGCCGCCACCCAGCGAGCCTAGCATACTGCCTGATCATCGGGTTCACCGGGCTGCACTCTGCCGTGATTTAGCGGGACGAGGAAGGGTATTTTGACGGGGAGCGGAGTGTATCCGCGAGCTTTTGGGCGAGAGGTTCATAGGCGGTAGAGTGAGGCCAGCAGTCAGCCTAGAGGACTTGTCTGATGTCTGATGCGCCGCCCARTCTGGACGTTAGGCTCCTCAGTTCGGGTTGTCGGTGTTGCCTGTGGCTGACGGGGGATGCTCATGGGAGTGATTCCCTGGCTCGATGAGTGATGGGAGCCGATAGTCTGCGGTGGCCAATCCTSATGGGAGTAGGATAGGTACTGTTGGCTGCGTCTTGGATGTGTGAACTTCCTCATCTGTGCTCTACACTACTCTACTGCCGGAGTCCTGTTTGCTTCGCAGGGGGTTCGTTGCAAATTGATGTGTCCGCTGTGCGGTATGATCGAGCAGACTGCRGTTTCACTGCAAGCTATTGTGCGTTTYGTTGCCCAATTCAACTGCRTCKTTGATACACCTGGTATTTGAGCTCACCGGGRACTGCTGTGCTGTTCTAAGTGCAGATTGTTTAAGGGTCGTATGATTGCAGCCTCCACACGGGAGGCGGAGGGGGTTAGTGCTGCGGCTTAGAGACTGTCAAGGGGAGGGGCCGTTGTTGCTCACCAAACCACGTTTGGCTGAACCCWTGCCCTTTAAGCTAGTAAGCTGCCGCTGGTTGCCGCAGGCTGCTTCGAGCTAGCTGTTGCGACTGGTATCCGGCATACTGAGTACCAGCGAATCACTGAACAGCGTGGCGGCATGGTGAAGCGGTGGAGCTTGCCCCGTATGCGGCTACAGCACCTTGCAGTTGCACGCGAGTAATGAGCGTGTGATCGTTTGTCGAGTTTCCAGGGAGTCTGTCGGTGCTTCAAGCTGTTGTGTAGCGGTGACTGGTCTAGGAAGAAGTGTTGGGACTGGGAGATGCGGCCAGAGTTGCGAAGGGGGKTATTGTTGCAGACTGAGGAGTCGCCAGAGGTCAGATTTCGGCAGTTGACTCGAAATGGGCCCAACTGTTGTTGCGCGGTCTGTCCATCATTGYGGGGCCCTCAGGCGCATCAAGATAACGAGGCCCTCTCCTGTGAGTCTGAGAGCACCTCCCTTGGAACTGAGAGTCTTAAGCTTATCTCCATCTGTCCTCCTAACTCTAAGTCTGGTCTGTTGGTTACGAGAGGAAGGCGGCAGGGGGGATTGCAACCCGTAATCTGCGCCAAGGCCTTTGTGGGAGGTTCGCCCCACCGATTGCGGGAGCCTTGCTGGAATTCAGGAGGGGTTCTAGGGGCAGGGGACTGAAAGGTAACCATTGCTTTCCTTCTATAAACCCAGATTATAGCCCCTGTTTGCACTACCTGTTGTGTTTTGACTGAGTATACTGCATGCATCCCTACTTTGACCTTTGGTTGGCTGTCAGGATAAAACCAGATTAAATTAAAGAACGCATGCAAAGCTCAGTTTCASGTTGTTGGTTGGTTGAAGGCAGATTGTAAGAAGGAATTTCATCAGGGGAAAGGCAGGATAGAGGGTTGATTTCCATGAGATTTAACTGGGTCTTTAAGGCTGGGAGGTCCCCATAAGTTGGGGGAATCCAGCGCTTTGTTTATTTTGGGTTGCATGGAGCAATCAGGCCGCTCTATAAGTTTAGGTTATCTGAATGCTCTGGAGGTTGGGACGTCCCCATAAGTTAGAGGAGGCTCGGTGCTGTGAATTGCCTGGAGGGTCAGGACGCTCTATATGTTTAGGTGACATGACTGCCTCGACTTGTGAGGGTTTGATTGTGGATGATTTTCAGGAACACAGGGCGCTCTTTAAGTTTAGGTACCTTGAGTTGCCTTTTTTTTTTTTTGTTTTCCTAAGTTTCTTTTGTTTCTAAACGAGGGGACCGAGATGTTCTGTAAGTTCAGGTGACTCAGTCTCTCCTTGCTTTTGTTCTGAGAAAGTAATCTTTGGCAAAGGGGCAGACTCTTCTGTAAGCTTAGGGGGTTTGACTCAGTGCCACACACATGATGGCTTAGAGAGCAATGAATCTGGCAGAGAGTTAGAACTTTCTGTAAGTTCAGGGGGTCTGGCTCAAAGCCTCGCACATGCTGGAACCCAATGGTATAATTTGGCTATACATTATTACTATCTTATTACAAACAGGCTAGTTAGACACGGGTTCCATAAGATTGGATGGTCTGACTATAGTTTATCGTAAATTGAAGAGAGTACAATTAAGAATATAATTGAAGGTAACTTGGGCTTACTAAGCATTGTTTCTAAGATGAATGGCTCAGTCCTACACCCACCTTGAAGATTAAAGTTCAGAGAGATATATACAACTGGGATATTAAACAGTTCAGGGCGACTAAGCATTGTTTCTAAGATGAATGGCTTAGTCATATTCCCAAAGAAAAGAAAGTAGTTGTACCCGCTGTTTTGTGTATAACTTGGCTAAGCTAGGCATGTCCCATAAGTTTGGGTGACCTGACTTTACGCCTTATTTAAGCTGGGTATAAAGGGCTAAATCATTGAAAGATTACAAACTATTGTTTATCCAGGTTGACTTTGGGCTGGTGAGAGTACTTACCTCTGTGGTTTGGCCTGCATGTGGCTAAGTAAGATGGCTACCTGATCTGAGTTTTCAGTTTGATAGGTAGTTGCTTTAGATGCTCGCCACGGGCTAGAGCCATAGGAGTTAGATTCAATTCCTCTATTTTCTAAGCTAAGTATTTTTACTTAGATCAATTCTCGCATTTTTTTGGATCTTTCGTTATACTTGGCTTTGTACAAATCTTGGCAAGCTACTTTCTCTACGGGAAGCGCTGCCGAAATTTCTACGAATCTAAGGAGTTAGTCAATTCTTGACTTGTCAAAGTTCAACTTGTCTTTTCTTTATATCTGACTTAGTAAATATCTGGAAAGTCTCCTTTTCTAAAGGGAGTGCTGCCAAAATTTTGCTAATTCACGGAGTTAGACAAAATTTGACTTTGAGAAGGCAAAGTTAGTTTCAAGTTTTGAACTTAGCTTTGTATAAATCTTGGACTAGCATTTTTCCAAAGGGAGAATTTCTACAAATCTAAGGAGTTGTTAAATTTTGTCTTGACTGAAACTCGAGTTATTCTGAGTTCAAATCTGAGATAGTATAAATATGGGAAGTATCCTTTTCTACAGAAAGTGCTGCCTAAATTTCTACTAATTCAGGGAGTTAGACAAAATTTGACTTTCTTGAGTTAGATATTATTTCTGCTTTCATATTTGAGCTTGCATAAATTCTGGAAAGACACTTTTCCTACGGGAAGCGCTGCCGAAATTTTCTTAGTTTAAAGGAGTTAGATTATATTTCGACAGGTGACGATTCTGGTAATCCACCCTAGATAGGGGAGATTATGTCATGAGTCTACCTTTCTTTGGAGCACTGGCTTAGAGGTAGACTTAGACATACTTGATTATGAGGATTCCGAGTGAGACTGTGATATGGAGATGATTTTCCATGAGCTTATGATTTTAGCTTGGGGCATTGACCTGTCTTGTGTTACAGGTCCTCTTGATCGTTTGACTCAGCATCTAGACTAGTTTCAGGCTTGATCCCTTGAGGGTCGTCTTTTGTTATCACTGATAACAGGTCAGTTGGTTAATCGGTGACTTGTCGGCTCACGACACAACTTTGCTTACACCTGTACCTCAACCTAATTGCCTTAGCCCTGAGATTTGATATATTTCTTTGATGGTTTTAATTGGACTCCTTTTAATGGCCATTATAAAGAACGTGTGAGATTTATGGAAGGTTGGACTATGAATGAGGCTTGAGTGTGTGAGGCATGGTATGAGTAACAAGGAACAGTAAAGTAAACCACATTGGTGTCTGTGTTTTATGCAGGTTAGTATCTTGGAGCTCGGTATGTGAGCCATACTTTGGAGGCAGTGAGAATGACAATCATGTGTCGCACGACCTACATACCTGATGGGTCTATGTTTCCCCTTCTTTTGTTACTATCTCGATATCTGATTTGATATATGAGTATTGGGATACTTATTTAATTATTGATTGACTTTSCTTATTGATTTTTTATAGTTGGACGTTGTAGTCCGTGGCAGCCGTCAAAGTCAAACCCCTTGACTTTCGCCCAGGCCCGGAGTGGGACTCATCTCCAGGSCAGTAAGTAAYGACTGTCACCACATGTATGGACATGTGTACCACCCGCTCTGCATAAGGTGCAGAAGAGGGTGTGTGGTCTTCAACCGCGCATGGCGGTTGTCTAGCGCTGAGAGATTAACCCTCAAGGCGTGTGTCAGTCGACACTTGAGTGTCAAATGCGACCCTCGAGATTAACAAGGACCGCGCGAGTATGGGTACTACATAGTACGCCATCGCTGCGACTGCTTGCATACGCTTGCATTGCGAGTTGATATGAGTAGGCTCTGTGCCCGCRCGGTTTTATATCAAGTCTCGCGCGCGACGCCTATCCGATTTCCTCGTCGGGAAGTTATGGGATGGTCACCGAGGGGCTAGGAGCGTTGTCGTGTCGTCTGTGTTGTGTCGTTTCGTGCATACGTGTGTGTRTTGTTGTTTTGTGGTTTTTAGAGTGGTTACGCGTGGTGTATGGGATGCGTCCTAGTCGACCGACGACGGGCCACGCTTGGGACTTCAGCCCCCCAAGATGCCGGCTCGCGTGCGGGCCCGATAGGCGTACTACCGCAAGTACCCCCTATGCTACAGCGGCCGAGAAACGCCCTCGGCTGGTYCACCGCTGGGATTGCAACTGAGTAGCTTTCGTATTGTGGACTGGTAGCTCGGCGGGGATACGCCCACCGAAGGGAGGTGACAGCTACCGTAAGGTGGAGGTAAGTTGTGCCTCGCGTAGGCCCTATCCTGTCGTAGGGGCTCGCGAGAGGTATGGCTGGCGCACTCMGCCGGAGCGGCTTGAGGAAGCTCCAAGTATATTTGCGACGAAGGATTTAAAACCAACTCCTGCGTGACGCGGTCGGGAGGGTCCCACGCTGCCTCCTGTGGTGTCGGACCGAAGCGCTCGATAGGTGGCGCCGTTGCCGGGGATAACGGCTGCCTACCGTTGTCCCTGGTGGAACGACATCCGGGTATGGAAGTNGGTGTCGGACCGAAGCGCTCGATAGGTGGCGCCGTTGCCGGGGATAACGGCTGCCTACCGTTGTCCCTGGTGGAACGACATCCGGGTATGGAAGTGGGAAATAAGCGAATGAGAAGTTTCGATAGACTTGTATGAGCGATTGGCTAATTTTTTACTATCGGTGGAAGTATCTTAAAGACTGAAAGGTCCGAAAAAATCGAGTCTTGATTCGAGGCAGGTTGATGATCCGTGGAGGATGACCGCTTCTGCTCTACTGATTGGGTTAGGAGGAATGGTTGATCGTATATGGTATTGGATTAAGCATGAAGTGCAAAAAAAAAAATGTCGCCGAAATTCAACAAAATTTCATTTTGATAACTTATTCACGCCAGAAGGGCTATGAGCACATGTTGAAACTGGGTTTTCTGCTGTGTTCAACTACTCATCAACATTATCAACTTATTCCCAACGAGTCCAACATGGTTTCCAACAGGTCTCAAACTTTTTCTCAACCACTCCAACATGGTTTCGTACAGGCCTCCAACATGAACCAACACGTATCCAACATGGTTCTTGACCTACATTTCGGTACATGATAGGCGAGAGAGTGCGTGTGTGTGTGTGTGGCGGTCGTGTAATGCGGCCCGGTCTTGTAGAATTGCGTGTTTTGTGGTGTTATTTAAACCTCCTCCCCCCCCCCCCCCCTTTTTTTTCCTCCCACTTCAGGCCTTTTTTTTTTTCATTATAGTATTACAGGGAACCCCGTAGTGGCCACAGCCATGCTCAAACCTCTAGCGAGGGAACATGCGGGAGCTGCACCCACCAGCAGGTGCGATACCCGCTACAACAGGTGGGCAATAGCAGCCACGAGTCAGCCGGTAGCATCAATGAGGAACGGAAAAAAACAACATGGTTGGGAAGTGGGTGCCACTTACGCCAGAATACGACTATAATGTATTCGTATATGGCTCCCACTTCCCAACCAAATCGTCACAAGTGTAACTTTGTGTAAGTTATGTGGTTGCGCTATGAGACTCGGGAATACGGCTATAATGATTAGGTTAGAATTTGTGTCAGGTACATCCATGATGCACGCTGAGACTCAGGAATGCTACCCGTCTACCTACCTGTATTAGGGGTCTGAAAGCGTCAACGTTTGGTCTTCTTATACTCGGGCTCGAGTACCCGGCACATCTACCTCTACTTGGTGGAGTACCGGCCGCTTGCTACGTCTACTTATAGAAAATGCGGCGCATCTACCTCTACTTGGTGGAGTACCGGTGCATCTACCTCTACTTGGTGGAGTACCGACGCATCTACCTGTACTTGGTGAGTACCGGGCTCGAGTACCCGGCGCATCTACGTCTACTTATAGGAAAGGCGGCTTTTACCATATCGTGGTAAGAGCTAGCCCAATAGGTAAAGGTCATGGATTGATATGCGAGAGATACTAGGATCCAGTCTGACCTGCCTCTGGGCTAGCTCTTTTACAAAGGGTCAGGGCCTGCTTTTTTCGCCCGCCCTCAGATGGCGTTTACCCTGTGGGCCAGGGCCGACTTACCCTGCGGTGCCCCTCGGGCCTCTGAAATTTTCTGCAGGCCCCTGTCAGCATGGGGCGTTGTCGGACCAAATACCCTTACAAGGGTATTTGGCCATGCTTTTGCATTCGACACGGTGACGGCATCGGCTACCGTGACGGAGCCAGTCTGGAATGGAAAGGGTGTGCACGCTTGAGCGTGACACTCGAAACAAATTCCTCAGCCATTGAGGCCGGGGAAAAATCGGTGAGAAAATTTCGTTAAGTATGCGCGCGCGTTGTTATGACGCACGCTGTGAAGGTTAGGATCTGCAGTAATACCCTTCGACCAAACAGGTTGAGGGGTCGACAAAGTTGATGTTATGACGAGTAGATCTACGATGTACACTGAGACTTAATCATCAGTACATTAGTCAGAATAAATTAATACGTGCCCGGTCGTACGACCGGAGCGATTATTGGTGTGTGATTATCGGGGTTGAGGTAGCGCCCGATTGTTGACGTTTGCTCGAGCGGTACCTTTATCGTTACTAGTGCACCGTAAGCGAGGTTGAGTCTCTAACTCAGCCTCCAGTAGGTAGAAAGGGAGTCGCCCTGGGGAGGTGACTTCCTGGCCGCATGACTACCCTAGCGACCTGTGCCTTCGTCCCTCTGCATAGAGAGATACCGTTGAAGGCTCCGATATCATCCGCACAGGACCTAGACTCGAACTATCGGAAACCGGTGCCCGCCTACCTGATGGTACTGGGCCTCTGGAAATGCCTACTTTGTCTTCTTCTGATCGGCCTCGATTACCCGGCAGGTCTACTCGGTGTGGTACCGGCCTACCTGCTACTTAAGTGCTTTGAATCCCGTTGTTCTAAGTGTGCGGGTTTACCCCGCTACCTTGTAACTTTCCCAGCTCGACCCTCGATGTCACGGCAACGGGTAAGTACCGGCACTTCGGGCCTTCCTAGCAACCTAGTGCCCTTGTGGGGCAGTGCGGGTCTTACACACACTCAAGCCGATAAACGTTCAAACAGGGGCGCAGACCAGCAAGCGGACACGCACCACACATATTTAGAAATGGGCTCGGACTACTAGGCAGACCGAGCCCGACTAGTTAATATATACCGAAGCAGCTCTTCTTTAAGCCAAAGTAGGAGCTAGCCCAATAGGTTTTGAGGTGGACTATCAAATGAGGGGCATGAGGATGAAGTCCACCCGACCTGACCTTGGGCTAGCTTCTTTTGAAAAGGAGTTTTACTTTTGTTTTGCCAAGGTTCGGTCGGCCGGGACTTGAACGCACGACCTCAGACATAGGATTAGGAGTAAGTTAGTTAGTTTTCGTGCCCGACCCTTGGCACGACAGGGTAGTCAGCGGTTATATTTTTTTAGTTCTTTTAATTTTCTTTTACTTTAATTATCTTTAGTAGTTAGATTCCCTCTTTTATTAATTTTATTATCTTCTTTTCTTTTGACCCGTATGTGTTTTTCATAGTTTCGTTTGACGAATCTGTCGTGGGATCCGCGACGGAATCACCGTTGGTACTGTCCCGATCTCGTTTGGAAAGACTTGTTGAACTTGTCGATTGAAACGGGGCGGATTCACTCCCCGGGGCACCTCGACATATCGCTCGGTATCCGGCCGTCGACGACTGCGGGGACGACTACCTCGTCAGGTTTGCGGGTGGAGAGAAGCGTCGAGGAGGAAAGGGGCGAGCACGGGCTAGCAAGCAAATGAGGTAGCGCACGCGGACGAGGAAGGAGAAGAACTTGGTTGCGCAGAAGGAAGGAGGAGCGTGGGGAGATGGAGAGAAGAAGGAAGAAACGGAAGAAGCTAGCAGAGAATCGCGCGGAAGAAGACGGGGGCTGCGCACACAAGAAAATGGAGATGGCGTGCGGGAGCAGCGGAGGAATCATGCGGTGAAAGCACAAGATGGCCGCGCGGGAGGAAGCAGAGAGTTAGCGCGCGGGGAGCAGGGGAGATGGTCGCACGCGCAGAGAAGTAGTATAGGAAGAAGAAGAAGAAGGAGGAAGAAGAAGGAGGAGAAAGGGGAAGAAGGTGAAGAAGAAGGAGATGGGGAAGAAGGAGAAGGAGGAGATAAGGGAAGAGGGCGACTTACTTGGGCAACGTACCTGGCAATGGGTAGTCCCAGAGGCCGCGGCTGACTGCGCTCAACATCCATCGAAGGGATGAGGGAAACGATCGAGCAGATCGATCGCACCTTCCGCTGCAACATCAAGGTATCCGCTACGTGTGTGTGTGTGTGTGTATGTGTGTGTGTGTGTGTGT